CTTATACTTTTATTTTACATTGAGGACAATGTTTGATTTAAGTTTGGGGGAGAGAATAACTTTTAGGTGTCACATTCTTATATTAGTTCGCATATTTGCATCACATGCATTTTTTTTTTTTAGGGTAATTTTTTTTTAGGAATTGGTTCAATTAGTGTCAAGGAATTAAATATTTTGGAGTTGGTGATTCAAAAACTTCTAATTCTTTAATTCTTAGAGGAGATACAAAATCTGAAAAATAGCACCATTGTGATGAAGTTTAAGTTCATGAGTATTTTATTCTACTTGACCACAAGATTGTAGTGAGAAGTTTAAAGAGAAGACTTAGTAGCACCTAAATAGCACAAAAAAAAAAAAAAAGCCAATACAAAAGAGTTTATTAATATCTACTCCAATGTTTCTTTAGTTGCTTAGTAACTGGGGGTTAGGCATGAGACCCATGTCAACTTTCACGTCAAACGGCGACTTGAAATATGAGTATGCAAAGCACTTTGAGTTTATGACTTGTTGAGTAACCGGGTCCTTTCATCACAAATGTTAGTATTCGCGCCAAAAGACAAGTGATAGCTTAAGGAAGAATATGTTGTATGGCTGGAAAAAAAAAAATAAAAAAGAAGAAAAAGAAGTCGAATGTTTCGTGGCCTTTGTTACTTGAGTAAGTATGTTCTTAGGGGTGTCTCTCCACCTAATGCCCTAAAGCCAACTGGTTTGGGAGTCATTGACAAAAAGCTCGTTATATGGGTAACTTAGAAAGCCTAAGGAAACTCGACATATGAAAAAAAAATATATATATAGTAATAAGTGTTAAGGTGTGAAGGTCTAAAATTGAGACTTCTTATTATGAATCTCTACACACACATTAATTGCTCATGAGCTAAGTTTTTTTTAACAAGTGGTGTGAAAAATAGGATGAGTATCTGACTTTAAGTGAGTATATGAAAACTTTTGCATATTTGAGACTTTGCCTCTAATTGAACTTTAATTCCTACAATTTCTTTGCATGCATATCATATAGTTGCATTTCTGCACTAGGATTTTGTGGGTAGATCCACTGAAAACCCTCACGAGACACAACTCATCCACTAGGGTGACCTAGGGGTTTAAAGGCTTGTTGCACATGCTAAGTGCAATCGTGGCGCCGTTGCCGGGGAAATTTCATGAATTGTAGTCTTTTATATTTTATTGGAACAATTTTATTTGGTTTTACATTACTTTTATCATTCTTTGTAGGTAGAGGGTAAAACTAAAGA